TGCATCTGTAAGAAAAGGCAACTTTATGGCATTATTTCAAAGGAATCCAAACTTTTTCTTTTCTTCATGCAGTAAGCAGCTCTCAAAGGTGCAGGCAGGAAGTAGAATTAAACAACATAAGGCTCGGGGGCCAAAATTGACCCTGAAAACACTCCAGTATGGCCCATGGGATGGCTTTGGAAAATGTTAAGGGCACAAATTTTGGACTTTTAACTGTATTTTCATTTGTTTTTTAAGCTTTTTTTTTTTTTTACTGATAAAGACCTCCTTAAAACATTCATACTACATCTAAGTAAGTAATAGAGAAACAATTAAATGAAAGAAAGAGTATTACTGTATTATCTGCTATAGAAATTATTATTTTTTACATTGCACTTTTTTCTCTAATATTAGGATATATCAGGGATTTAACCTCTAATGAGACCACAAATATGAGTTTGACATCCCCGCTTTAAATGTTGACACCTTTAAGGAAGAAAGTATTAATAACAGTGGTTTAGCACCTCATCATAACAAGACGATTCCTGGTCCGAACCACCTGAAGGCTGGTACCGTCTGTGTGGGGATGTTCTTCGAGTACTTGCATAGACTTGGTCCCACAGTCTAAAGACATACATATTAGATTACCAGCCAGTAGGTGTGAATGTGAGTGTGAATGGTTGTCCGTCTCTCTGTGCTGGCCTTCCAAAAGACGGATGACCGATGGATGAATGGATGGATTGCAATGTGCAAGTAGTATTTTTTCTTTCTCTTCATCAAGTCAGACTTGATTTTCCCTCTGTTGCTGCAGTCTGCCCATAACCTATTGAGAAAATTCACATTGTGTAAAGTCCCACTACCTCATGTAGCATACAGTGAAATTGTTAAATGCAGCAAGATTGGCATAACCGTGAAGTACAAGCTGCAGGGGAATCGTGACAAAATGTGATATCTTGTTAGCGGTTCAAGAAAGGTAAGAAACTGAATTCAAGCAACACGGACCAGAATATGAAGATTAAGACCTGGTTCAGCCTTAGATGTACAGTATTTTACTTTTACATTAAGATCACTAAAACAACAGTATAATGGCAGCCAAACGGCTGACAGCATTATGCTGTAATGCTCATATTCTATCCAGCACTGCACTATAAGATATTTTTTGCCGTGAGAAACTGCTCTAGATTGCAGTAGGTCCACTGTATAATCACAGTTTCATGCTAGCTAATCTGGCTGACAGTACTTTGCTGTAATATTACAGGGAAATTTGTTACAGTGTATCACTCAGCCCCATCTCCTATTCTTTTGGTCTCCACTACCTCTGCAACAGCCTTCTTAAATTAATGTTAAGCTAAGAGTTCAAGCTGCTTTAAATCACAGTCTCAGCCTTCAGTGAAGGTGGTGAGCCAAGTGCAAATGAAGTCAGCGTTACTGCTTTCTTATTCGGCGCGTAAGGAAGACGCCTGGGGTTTGTGCAAGTGACATGCAATCAGTTGGTGGCTACGCTGCTTATGTAGCTAATGTCAGCAATCCACAGCAAAAATGCTCTGTCAAATTTCAGGAAAACCATTTTAAATATGAGCTTTCTTTGGCTTGAAATAGACCAGAATTTGAACCTTTGTTCCTTGTGAGAGGACATTTGCAACAACTGCATGTGGAACCTCACAGGTCCTCCAACATGACATGTGTATGTATGTGTACAAGTGTCTTACAAGTAGATGTGAATACATGAGTGAGGATTTTTTTTTTTTTTTTATGATATCAAAAAGTAAAAAGGTAGACGAACAGTGGGGTCGCTGCGTCCTTACTGTAAGGGTGTAGGAAGGAGAAGGATGAGTGTGTGTTGTGGTTTGTCAGAGCCGGTGCCCTGTCCCGCGCACACCAGGGAGGGAAAAAAGATAGGTGTGGGCGGGTAAGTCGGGGACTAGGTGATGGAGTGTGTGAGGCAGCAGAGGAGGGGGAGCGGAGTGATGGAGTGCTGGGTGGAGGGAGGGCGGAGGGTGATGAGTGTGTGCTCACAGTGTAAGTGACACCTCTCCTCCTCAGACAGATTGTCTCTCTCTCCCTGTAATGGGGACCCCGTTAGAGAACCTTTTCCCTCCATCTACCCCCCTTCTGCACACACACTTTGTCACCATTCCCATGTCTCTCTCTCTCACACACTCTAACAATTTTTCTTCTGTATTTATTTTCTTCTATCTGCCCAGATATGTCCACAAATTGGCTACATTTCTGTGCATTTCAATTCGCCCCTTTCTCTGCATAATTTTTAATCAATCTGCACCTCATTCTGAGACCGCTGATTGTCAAGCAGTTTACGCTGGTTTACAGCTCAGAGAGCGAGAAGAAAAGCGAAGGAAAAATACCAAAAGAGAGATCAGAAAGGAAGGAGAGGGAGGCTATCAATATTCCCACTGCCGGTGGGATCCTCACAATGATTTTCTTCTCAGCTCCTGTTTGAATCTGACAGCGAAAATTCTGCATAGCTAGAGCCCATTTATCCCCTGTCCAACATAGTTCCCTGTGCCAATCACACTGAGATGAATTATATGCGTACTTGCTTTTAAGGACACTCAGATACTCACAGAGGATCTGAGGATACACAGGCTCAAAGAGCCACTTGTACTTCCACGCACAAGACCACACACACACACCTGCCATTACCTTAAACAGGTATTTTGAACCAGACCCAAACGTGTTCGTTTTCTGAAACTTAATCAACAGCAGGTGTATGTCAGGGTGCGTGTGTGAGACAGTGGATGTATGTTATTGCTTGTGTGTGCCCGTGCCCTCACTAACAATCATCTCAGCAAACCAGATCAGAGGCTATCTCTTCGCTTCAGAGGCGCCGCGCTGGCGGGAGAGCGGCGCGCAATCACAAAGACACCTCAGACAAATAGGCTTCATAACTTGCCTGTAACAAACAATCACTGGGGCCTGAGCCCCTATCCCAAATGAAATCTCTCGCACCTGTGTAGATGCAAGGATACAAAGGAATTTTTAATGCTCCTCCGAGTCAGGTACGAGTCTCCATGGTGATAGCAGAGTCGCTATGGTGATAAAGAGATGGCGTTCAAAACAATGGAAGCATTTTTATGAAATATGTGAGGGAGGGGGGTCTTATCGTGAAAATATATTCTTTATAGAGCCATACAGCCCAAACCATTTGTACTCCTAATGAACATATGCGCACAAAAGCAAGTTTCATACACTTTACAGGGTCTGAAACTATGCCAACCAGCATGTTTGCAACATTGTAACACAATATACAACCTGCCAGGTACCCACCAACACACTTCCCACTGTTTTTGCTAACACTGCAGTACCATATGAGAGAGATAAAATGGTCATAGCAACTACTCAGTGTAGCACGAGTCTGCATGCAAATAGCAACACTACACTGTAACAAATGTACTTTTTAAAATAGAATAAATTAAGACAATTTTTACAGTGTGCCCACTGTAATTATTCTCTACATCTTTAAGAGTTCTAAACAAATGTCTGTCCTCCTCCAGAAAATCTTATGTACGCAAACACGCGTTGCAACTTCTTATCTTTTTTATTTTGACAGCGAATGCGCACCTGCGGACCACTTATGTGCACCCCTGGTTATTATTTAGCTCGTCATGTTGCAGCCACAGAAATTATTTTGTCCATGAAACCATAAAGCTGCACTTTCTTTTTGCCTTATATCCTGGTGCTTTTACACAGGCACTCACATAACGCTCAGTGATTCTCTGCGCGATCAACCTCTCACATGTTTAAGCTGCGGGAGATTTCACTTGTCTTGTTTGCATAGTAAGCTAACGATTGATAAGACGATGTCAGAGGAATTGGTGCGCAAATTATCGTCACTCACCAATCAATGCTGTCGCTCTCTATACACAGTTCGCGCAATTGCAAAGTGAAAGCAAAAAACAAGCGCAAATTCAAACGCGATTTCAATATGTCACATATTGACAGTGGCTCACCGATGGCAATGACATAATTACCCAGCTACATTTCCGAAAGAATGCAAAAGCATTGACATATATTTTTCCTTCCTATGATAGCTCGACGGGCAGGGCAGAGATAGATTTTGGTAGCCCGACTGGAAAAATCACTAGCCCCGGGACGTCGGGCTGGCGATTTTGCAAGCCCTGTGTACAGAATTGAAGATTTATTGTATAATAAGCAGACCATTTACATTTCTGTGAGTCCCAAGTAAAATTGCTGGATTAAACCAAAAGGGCTTCAGTTTCCTGTTAATACTGATTTTTTCCTTAAAGTAGGGTAAAGTATTTAGCTTTATTCACCAAAAAACACTACATTGCAATACAAAATATTCTGTATTTTTGCTTTTAAGTCTCACCAACACAGTATTCAAACTCTACAGATATACATCATCCATTCTTAGCATGTCAACATTATCCAAGCATCAACTCCAGAAATGTCAAACCAACATCCAAACAAGTAGTTACCTCGGTGTTGAAGCTCTGAAGAAGCCTTTCAACTTTTTTTGAGCATCCGGAGTCTCATTGGCAATGCTGTAACATCAACGCCTCATGAATGTCTTTTCCAACTTCACACAAAACCCACCATCTAAGCATCCACCCACAACATCCTTCAAAGTATCACTTCAAAAAATCCAAACGTCACAACATGTAAGGTAACCAGAATATTATTCACTCTAAATTATTCTTAGATGCTTTAGGATGTGACCGTTCTCTAGCCTGCGCGAGCTCTTATCTGTTGGAAGAATTCATTATTTTCCATCTCTCGGCTTTAGATATGTAATTTAGCAGTCATTTGTGGAAAATTTAGTGTGAGAAATAGACCAAATGATGGCACGTTAAAAAAAAAAAAGGCTTTTGGATCTGATGTTTGTAACAGTGACATTTGCATAATTTCTCGCTTTTAAAAAATGTCTCTATTGCTCATTTCAAAATATGTAAATGCATAAACCTTAGATGATTATACTACGCAAAAAAAACCTTTCATTTTACACAACTGTAACGCTTACCTCGTTCTTCTCTCCTCCACAGGCCGTAGACTATGAGAGTCGGAGCTCCTATTCCTTCTCCGTTGAGGTCCTTAACCCGATAGTGGACCCCCGCTTCCTACGTCGAGGCCCCTTTAAAGATCGGGCTTCAATCCGAGTTGCAGTCCTGGATGCGGACGAACCACCGAGGTTCTCTCGGGCCAGATATCACATGGATGTTTCAGAGAACTGCCCGCCGGCCTGCACAGTGGGCCGAGTCAGTGCAGTAGACCCCGATACTGGTCTGACCAATAACATCAGGTAGAGTACAAAGCCTCTGCATTTCAGCAGGGCATGTAGTCTTCCTATACATTTAGGTTGGAACTTTTCACTGTTGAGATAGCGAACAGCCTACCTGGGCTCCTTTTAAACAGGTTATTTTTTTTTAAAAAAAGCTAGTCTTTCCAGTTTTCATGCTGAGATAGTAGCTATAACTTAATCTTTGGTGTAAAACATGACACTGCTATCAGTTTTATCATCTGCCACCCAGGAAGAAAGCAAATAAGCCCATTTCTCAAAATGTTCCTCTCAGTATTTGCTGTTTATGAACTCATAACAAAACAGCTTTACAGGACTTTTATTGCTGAAAGACAAATCAAGCATTTAATGGTGCTGGGACTTATATATATCTTCATTTGTTTTACTGTTTTAGAGGATATCATTTGTTTTTTGTCCAGCCACAAGCAAGGGATAGCCAGGCTTTTTGAATTAAATTCAAACCAGGCTCTTCAGCTAAAAGAAACAAGACACAACAATAAGAGCTAACCAAATAAAAATAAGCCAACCAAATGCCCACACAGTGTTCCCACGAGCCAGACAGAAACCACAGACGCTTGCAGCTTCCAGTGCTTCGCTTGTGTTTGCGGTGGGTTTTGTCTCAAATAGTATGAGGAGGGAAGCAAGCGATTTGTCTGTAAAAGCCACAGAAAACCGTGTCCCAATTAAAAGCAGAAGTGCTAAAAGCGAGTAAGTGGGGAGGAATGATAGCTGGTATATTCACGGAGATATTTAGATAATCGGTAGCACTTCAAAAGAACTCTTATCAGCTGTGATAATCTCACTATATTAATTCTTTGGCCATTTGAATGCCGACTTCCTTATCGCTCCCTCACACACTTGCCCTGTCTGCTTCTTTCGCTCCACACCCCACTGCCTTCCCCGCATGCATCTTCCTTTCACTCATTCTTTCGATATTTCTCCCTGCCCTCTCCTCATTTCACCTGCCTATATCCTCAAACCCAACTTTCTCTTCTTCAGGTTCTCCATTGATCCTCAGTCAGACCCAGAGGCTCTGTTTCGTATCACACCAGAGACCGGTCTCATCACCACAGCGATGGAGCTGGACCGGGAGCGTGAGCACTGGCACAACATTACAGTCATCGCCACCCAGAGAGGTCAGAGGTCACTCTTCTTACCACACTTAATCCGGAGACATCGTTAGAACTCGTTCATTGGATTATTTATTTTATTAGAGCTAACCCTTGACAACGAAGCTAGCATTTTCCCCACCTCTGACACCTTAACCACTGATGAGTAAGAGGTTTAACAGACTAGAAACTGTGTTTTTTACGCTATCTGAAAGGCACAGTATCCACTGTATGATGCAGTTTACTAAGCGGCTTAGCTCTCAAGTCATCGAACCATGAGAGAAATGCTGTTTGGCGCCATGAACAATTTGTTACAGCGCGTCAGAGAATCAATTGATCCGTATTGTGCGAGTTATCTGATGCCGCAATAGAGCTGTTCTCGTAAGGATTCAACTGGAAACACTGAATTAAAGCAACAAATCGAACTCAGGCCTTGATTTGCAGACAGAACATGATAGCACAGGGGATCGTAAACATCTTTCTGTTTCCAAGTATGTAGGATGTCAAGCAACAAGACAGTTAAGTTCAAGTTATACATGTTCCCTCAGGAAAAAAAAAGATAAATGCCAGGGGCAAGATCATCAGTAGGTTCCACTAGTAGCTGCTCTCAAGCTTTCAGTCATGATTAAGGTTATCTAACTGTCTCTTGTCATTTGTGCAATTTAATTAATAATGAATTTTGATTTAATGAGTATATATTAAATGTGGTGTTGATTCTTTCATAAATGTATTCACATTGGAAGTAAAGCCAATTATAGTCCAGTAGGCCCAATTACAGCTCAGCCCCTACATCCTCTAATAACACACTTTAATTCTCGTTGCTTGCTCACGTGGGGGCTTGGCAACAATAACAGATGTTCCAGAACAACTAGCTTAAAATTGCTGTCAGATATAAATGTGTTAAAGATACGTGTTCATCCATCAGGTAGCAGGATACCAGCCACTTCAGTAGGTACTCCAGCTCCAACACTTATTAATCACCCAATCATATGACAGCAGTGCATTCAGACATGGAGATATCAAGAAAACCTGCTGAAATTCAAACTGAGACACTGGCAAGAAAAAGGTGGTTTAAGTAAATTTGAATGTGACATGGTTGTTGGTGGCAGGCAGGCTAGACTGAGCTTTTCAGAAACTCAGATTTTGCTATACAACCTTCTCTAGTGAGAAGAGCTTTATTAGAAGAAGAGAAAATATCCAGTGAGCAGCAGTTTTTCGAGGAGAATATGCCTTGTTGACATCAGAGGCGAGAGGAGAATGGCAGACTTTGGTTGTAACCACTCACTACGACCAAAGTACACAGAAGAACATTTCTGAATGCATAACAGGTCAAACCTTGAAGCAGATGGGCTTCACACCGGTCTCCACTACTGTCAGCAAAGAACAGGAAACTATGGCTGCAATTCACACAGGCTCAACAAATCCATCCTACCTTTTATCAACTGTAAGCAGGTGTGGAGGTTATTTTCTTTACACTCTACGCTTCAGATCACTCAACTGAGCATCGTTTAAATGCCACAGCTAACTGAGTATTGTTACTGACCTCTCCATCCCTTTATGGAGGGAGACTCAAACATACTCAAACAGGAGTAAATAGGAATGCATTTCTATTGTGTATGTATTAATATACATGCAGTATAGTATTTATCACTGTGTGTATGTGGAACGGAACATATCATCCAGTTCCAAACTTGCGGTTAATTTATTATTATTATTATTTTAGTACAAGGATACATCGTTAAAGAATATGTTATTTTTTCATTCGATTTCTTGACAAGAAAAATAGTAAATAACACCATATCAGCTTTTCTTAAAATGTCCTTCAGCCAGGTTAGTTAATGGATGGCACAGCCTTCGCAGCTTATTTAAATGTAAAGAATTTATTTTTAAGCTTACTTAAGCTTTCAGCTTCACAAACTATGACCCTGAGAAATATGTCTATTAGAAGCACCAAATGAAGTAGTGTTGTGACATTTTCTGATTTTAATGTATATGACAAACTCTACAATAAAGT